CTATACGTGCAAACATATGGTATCTGTCCTCTGACTTATTTCGCTCAGCATAACACCCTCAAGGTCCATCCATGTTGCTACACATGGCCAGATTTCATTCTTTCTCATTGCCATGTAGTATTCCATTGTATAGATAAACCACATCTTCTTGATCCATTCGTCAGGTGATGACACTTAGGCTCTTTCCATGTTTTGGCTATTGTTGAGAGTGCTGCTACGAATATTGGGGTACATGTGCCCCTATGCATCAGCACTCCTGTATCCCTTGGGTAAATTCCTAGCAGCGCTATTGCTGGGTCATAGGGGAGTTCTATCATTACTTTTTTGAGGAACCTCCACACTGTTTTCCAGGGGTGCCGCACCATTTTACATTCCCACCAACAGTGTAGGAGGGTGCCCATTTCTCCACATCCTCACCAGCATCTAGAGTCTCCTGATTTGTTCACTTTAGCCACTCTGACGGGCATGAGGTGGTATCTCAGTGTGGTTTTCATTTGTATTTCCCTGATGAGGAGGGACGCTGAGCAGTGTTTCATGTGTCTGTTGGCCATCTGGATGTCCTCTTTGGAGAAATGTCTGTACATATCTTCTGCCCGTTTCGTCACTGGATTGTTTGTTTCTCGAGTGTGGAGTTTGGTGAGCTCCTTTTAGATTTTGGATACTAGCCCTTTATCTGATATGTCATTTGCAACTATCTTTTCCCATTCTGTCAGTTGCCTATTAGTTTTATGGATTGTTTCTTTTCTGTCACACAGCCTTCCTATACTTGGACAAATTATCATACACCTTTCCCAACTTTATCCTTTGTGCTCTGAATGTCATGGATTTTCTCTGAGCATTCTTTTAAACATCACTTCCTCTAGGATGTCTTCTTCCTTTTCTTCATACTTTCTTCATATCCGCTGATAAAGTCACCTTTTACTGAGTTCCTCTTGCTGCACAGCTTAAGTTTCTTGAACAGTGGCAGTACCCACATCCCCACTGTCAGGTACCTTCTGGAACTCCAGTCATGGTAGATTTGAATCTCATACTGTTAGCACTTTTTTTTAATGTTCTTTTTATTTATATCTGGGGGGGGGGGGGGAACAGTGTGATCAAGGGAGGGACAGAGAGAGAGGGAGATACAGAATCCAAAGCAGGTTCCAGGCTCTGAGCTGGCTGTCAGCACAGAGCCCGACGCGAGGCTCGAATCCATGAACTGTGAGATCATGACCTGAGCCAAAGTTGGACGCTTAATGGATTGAGCCACCCAGGCGCCCCATCACTTTTTTTTTTAATGCACTTCATATTTGTGGGCCAATTCCCTCTTTTGATTATCCATTTCTATAAAATGCCATGTGAGTTAATGTCTGCGAGACAAGGAGGCCACACAACTATGTATTTTGTTGTCTGTGAATGAACATCTGTATAGTGACCAATCACAGAGTCTGAGGTAATTGGTCACTGATCACCTTGCACATCTGTTATTTATGGGGTGATCTGTGGAATGAACAACTCACCAATCACTTGTGTACTTTTTGCAATTATGACAAATATACTGTGATAAGAGGAATCTGAACTGTGTTCCTGGGGGACAGGTGAATTTAACTGAACTGTGCTGACTGAAATACATGCTTATCAAAATCATGCACAGCAAGCTCTGTCAGTAGTTTAAAATATAGATTTGAAGCCAGATTTCTAGATATAAATCCCAGCTCTTGCCACTTACTACTTACATGACTTTAGATAACTCATTTAATCTTTGGGGCTTCAGGGTTTTTGTCAATAAAATGGAAATAACAGCACAAACCTCACAGACAACTAAATATACATAGAATGTTTAAAGCAATACTTGACCCTTAGTAAGCACTGCAAAAGTTTTAGGTAGTATCACCACAGTTGCTACTATAAATATTTATATAATATTGTCTACACCTGCAAAGTCTAATACATAGCTACTAGCCACATGGTGCCATTTCAATTTAAAGTTAAATTTGTTAGGGATGCCTCGGTGGCTCAGTCAGTTGAGCGTCTGACTTGGCCTCAGGTCATGATCTTGCAGTTCGTGTGTTTGAGTCCCACATCAGATTCTGCTGTCAGGGCCCACATCAGATCTTCTGGTCCCCTCTCTCTCTGCACCTCCCCCACTCATGCACTCTCTTTCAAAGATAAATAAAACATTAGAAAAATATGATATTAAAGCTAAATTTGTTAAAATTAAATAAAAATTAAAAATTCAATTCCTTGGCAATATAGCTACATTTTAAGCACTCAATAGCTACCAGCACTGAAGTTCTATTGGATATTACTGTTCTATACTCTTGATACAGGTTAAGAACATAGAGTTGGATCGATGAATTTGATATAAATTAATAGTCATCCCTTCATCCCTGGCTTGAAATCAAGAAGGAATTATTAGGTTCAAAGGCAAATAGAAAAAACACATGTCAAGGAAGAAAAAAAAGAATTTCAATAAAAGGTATCAACATTCATATATTCTGAGTAAAACAGACTAAGTTTCCAATAGTCAACATTATCCTTTAGAAACTTAAAGTGACAAAGGATGCCCTTTTGAATTCTGAAAACTTTCATTCAAAATAACTCAAAATTTAATGCATAGAAATTAGTATATAATTATACATAAGATGAAAGCACTAATAATAAAGCAAACTAAACTATAATTATATTCATCTATTCTTTCCTTCCGTTCCAAAAGAAAAGAAATTAAATTTTCCACAGAAGAATTGTATACAAGAATTACTTCTATAATTTCCTGATTCCCCAATTCTATAGCTTCTGAAGTGTTAGTAACTATGACACACGCACCTGGACAAAAGACAAATGTACAGGGCTGGAGGCATGCTTTCTCTCACACTGAACTAAACATGGTACTTTCACACAACCAGTCTTAAATAAAAATATTTGTCAAGTAGACCTGAATTAGCAAAAACCTTATCCTAAGATAGCAAACATCAATATCAAGTTCATAAAAAATGCTTATAGAAAAAAAGTCTTGCAAAGGAAAGTATTTTAAGAAAAATTTTTACACCAGAAAGTCCTGAAGGATAGTCTCATGGAGACTAAATAGTGACTATTTAGTTAAGCCCAACTTTATACAAGAAGAGCAAACTTCAGTAAAGTTAGTATAACACATTTCTAGAGAAAGTTTGTGGTTATAAAAGAATAGAAGTAAAATTTCCCTTACAAATTTTATACCACAAGGCCAAGGAAGGTTTTCCTAAACTACTCTTTAAAAGAAAAAAAAAATTATATTAACACACTATGCAAAACCTAACACATGAAACAGATATTATTTTCTTCCCAAACCCTAATAAGTATTTTCTTTTATGAATACAATGATATAATTACAATATCAAGTTGTTCTTACAAGTCACCTTTTTAAAGTTACTGAAATAAAATCATTTTTTATAGGTATCATGGGTTGATGACAATTTTTCCCGTGAAAAAAGCATCTGTGAGTAGAAATATCTTTCCAAGTCCTTAAATTGTCTGACTATGCTAATACAGAAATAGCTTTAATAAATGTTTATTTGGGTTGAATTCAGAATATATTAATTTCAACCAAGCTGGTGACAGTTCTCAGACAAAAACAAGGCAAAATCTTAAGGCAAAACAATAACAACAACAACCACAACCCTCCCCCAAAACCACCAGAAGGAAATATATTTAAAGTGCTGTTAAATTCATAAATTTAGGATAAAATCAAAGTACTCAAATTCTACTACCAAAGAAAGCCTATGTCAAACTAAAGCTTCGTTCCAGAAACTACTTAATCAGGAATCCCTGGGGGTGAAAAATACTTACACAGAAGTTCAGAAAGTTACACTCATAGGAGTAAGCTGAGCCAGCAATACAAAACTAACGTGGTAACACAATCTTGCATTCACAGAATCACTACAGATATGATGTGAACGTTCTTAAATGTTTTAGTTATTATTAGCCCTATTTCATGGGGAAATCATTTGCTAAACTTACATTTTAAAACAAGGAGATTCTCCTGGGCATTATTGCTCTTTGTCAAATGTTTATTATATGAGTTAAAGAGAATAATTTACTTTTAAGCTGCTAATATTACAATAGGGATCAATTCATCTGATTAGTTTCTTCCAGATCATTGTTAGGATAAGTAGCTGGGACACAGGATGTCAGGAAAAAAAAAAAAAAAACAATATAAGGGGAAGTGGATGGGACCCAAAACTTTGTACATATCAGTTTCTCTTGGTATACAATTTTAACAAAATGTCTCAGCATTAGAAACACTCTTAAATGTGAAGCTGCCTTAAAAGGCATGCCATAGATAAATATATGACATGTAAGTAACTGTATTGCTAGTAGCTGATATTATTTGTATTAACACTGTCAGATATATGAAGATGTTTTTCAGATTTTTGGTCAATGACAATCCTGGCTACTGCTTCAGCACTATTTTATCTTTGATAATGCTATTTATAGCTGGTCTCTTTTATGGTAGCAAGTTTCACTTCTTAGAAAGTATATTGGCTTATTTTCAAATTATATTTCTTTTTTAATTTTTTTTTAAATGTTTTATTTATTTCTGAGAGAGAGAGGAGGGGGGGAGAGAGAGAGAGAGAGAGAGAGAGACAAAGACAGAGACAGCGTGAGCAGGGTAGGGTCAGAGAGAGGGGGAGATACAGAATCTGAAATAGGCTCCAGGCTCTGAGCTAGCTGTCAGCACAGAGCCCAACGCAGGGCTTGAACTCATGAACCGTGAGATCATGACCTGAGCCAAAGTCGGATGTTTAACCGACTGAACCACCCAGGCGCCCCAAATTATGATTTCTTATAAACAAAATGCAAACAGAAACAGAACATTCATTTTCAATGTTTTTATTCCCCTTTATATTTATTAATTCATTACTATTTAGAAATAAATATTAAAATGCAACTCAATGTCTTGTTCTGTGAAACCAGGTCAAAGAACTATATTAATGCTTGTTATAAAATCTATAAATAGTTTTGGGTAGTAGGACAAAACTTACTGTTCAGAACATTCTCCAGTTTTTGCGTCATGGATCCTTCTACTTTTTCCGTTCCATCCGCTTCTAGTTTTTGATGGATAGCTAGAAAAAACATCCAGTTAAAGTGTGGCCTATTTTAGTGGGTGGGAACACATTACATCAAAATGACATTTTTAAACAACTTTAAAAAAAGGTCATATTATTTTCACTGCTGGAAAGAAGCACAAACATGCAAAAACTCTGCAAAGTAACCAGCAGACACCAGTCTAAGTAATTCATAGTTTAACACTATTAAAATAGTACACAGTATACATACTCAATCATCTGATCATCCAGGCTGAGTGGTAAACACAGTTAAAAAAGAAAAGTGAGATGTAAGTAACTAATATCTCTGATATTTGGCCACAGGAAAGTCATTTTTCTTTCTTAGTTTTACCATCTGCAAAACAGAAATACTAGGATTTGAAGTCTACCAACCTCAAAATATTTCATTTCGGCCTTGGATATAACATGGCAAAATACATATTATTCATGTTCTATTCATTCTATTATTATTTTCTTGGAAGTTCTCAAGAACTATCTAGTAATATCTAACAATATATCAATTTGTAGATATAGAAATTACATTGGTGTTTTTTGCTATTGATAGAAGTCTGCATGGTTCTGATACACATTATGAAAAATTGCTTAATAATTTACATTTAAAAACTGTTTTACCTACTAGAGGGTAGGTTTTAAACAGAGCAAATCAAGCTTACCAAGGTAAAGCACTAAGAAAATTTACAAAATGAAATAACCAAATACAATTTCAAATCAAAACTGTGACATAATAAAAATAATAAAATTAAAAAGGCAAACATTAATTGAGCCATGACCATAAGTTAAGCACGATGATAAATTTCTAATGCATACTGCTCATCTGGCAGGAAGTCAGCGATGCATGTTCTAATATTTTTACTTCACAGATGAGAAATCCATGGCTCAGTGAAATTAAATAGGTTGGCCAACTTAACAAAGCCAAACCCAAAATTTGAACTCAAGCTGTCCAGTCCCAGAACAAAACTTCACCCCATACTGATTATAAGCATAGGCAAACAATTTGACCTGTCTAAGCCTGTTGTCACATTTATAGAATGAAAAGAATAGACTTACTGTTAATTGGGAACTACATTCAGATGCAAATAAGGGATCTCAGTTCCATATAATACCTTTTCCTAAACACCCAGAATTTTATTCTTTCATATAACTTCCTTTAGCAAAAACTCAAGTGTAAGATGTGTAACTCCAGGGCTTCACAAGCCAGTGCAATGAAATTAACATCACCCTTACAGTCCTTATTCTCCAACATTCAAATAGAATGTCAAACTCTTCTTTAAAAGAATTTATAGATTCTGCCTCAACCCATCAGTCAAGCATGGTAGATTTATTGAGGGGGTGGGAGGTCTGCTAAAGGAAAAAAAAAAGAAATTGATTGTTTTAATCAATCACAATTTGATTTGTTTCCCTTGACTCATTGATTAGAAAAATCTGGGCAAATTCAGTGCTGAAATGCACTATAAAAATATTCTCAATGCATAATAACATCTATTTCTCTCCTTCTTTTAATTACTTCCTAATTTTGATCTTGCCTTTATAAAAAAAAAAAAAGCGTGAGAGAGAGAGCGAGTGAGCACGAGTGGGGCAGAGGAAAAGAGAGAATTTTAAGCAGACTCCACGCTCAACACAGAGGCCCAACATAAGGCTTGATCCTACGACCTTGGGATCATAACTGAAATTAATTGGGATCATAAGCTGAAATTAAGAGTCGGATGCTCAACTGACTGAGCCACCAAGGCACCCACTGCCCTTTTTTAATACCTCTTTATTTTTAAAGCAATTTCAAATTTTGTTTGAACTTTATCAACAGAATGCTTTTGTTAGAGAAACACATTCAAAGAAAGAAAAAGAAACACATTTCGAAAACAAAATCAACCAGTATATTCTTAATTGCCTTGGTTGATTCAGGAGTGAAAAAAAAGTTATTTCATGCTCCAAAAATGGTGACAAAAAATGTTTCCACACATCAAAACCTAAACTTAAAGTTGTTAAGTTAAATGAAAAAGAACTTCCCTATCTTTAAAGAAAGGAGATAAAAATGCCCAAATATAAAAAATAGCAACTAAAAAGACTGTTCACACTATTTACTTAAATGCTGGTGTAATACTCTGACAATATTGTTGCAAAAGAATATGCAGCATACATTCCATTTTACTAAAGAGACATTACAAATGGTTCTTCCATGGCAATAAGACATTGTATCCTACAGTAGCCCTGTTTCAAATGTTGCTTTCTAAGTCAAAACCATTAAAGAAAACCATGCAGGCACATTTCTGTTACTGACAAAACCCATCACTGATCAGCAGGTCAAAATGAGGTAAGTCTGGCTCCCCTCAGCTCAATTTACAACCCGTTTTTGCTGACAAAGCAGCTTCCTGCCACCCATCTCCAGCACAGCAGAGCTACTGTCAAGCTGTCAGCCAAGCATGAGGACCAAGAGACACTGGATCTGATAAAGGCAATCCTATTTTCCAGAAAATTAAACCAAATAACCCAATGTCTGGTTCGCTTGACCTTTTATTTTCTCTAAAAATATTTTTAAATAGTATAACTCAATAAGCACCTTGGTACATGATCACAGGTTTGTTATTATTTCTAATCTATTAAAACTTAAATATGTGAAGCAGTTGCACACCATAAAATTGTATTTGGGAAACAAAAAAGTATGTATATAAAAGTTCTATTCAAAGAAAACTCAGAATTATAAAAAGACTGCCTATTGATTCGCTGAAATTTGTTTTATTTAACTCTAATTAAATGTGGACATCAAATTTACAGATTTCAATTAAAAAAATTCATAGTATTTGTCCATGTATTTACATAATTAAATGAGGCACTAGAAATGATATGTGTGTATAGGCAAAGTCTGTAAGATTTAATGTCAGGTACACTGTGATCTACACACTCTAACCACTATATATTACTATTAGCGTATATGAGACAGGAATATTCAAACGAGGTCAAAGACCAGCAAACTATTTCTTTTTTTTTTTTTTTTTTTAGGGCTTGTTTATTAGAGAGAGAGAGAGAAAGAGAGAGACAGAGTATGCGCAGGGGAGGGGCAGAATGAGAGGGCAGGCTCCAGGCTCTGAGCTGTCAGCACAGAGCCCAACGAAGGGCTCCAACTCATGAGCTCTAAGATCATGACTTGAGTCCAAGTCAGATACTTAATGACTAAGCCACCCAGGTACACTGCAAACTATTTCTATAACGAACCACACTGTAAATATTTTAGGCTTCATGGGCCACCTAGGGCCTCTACCACATATTCTACTTCTGCTTTCCTTTTTTTTTTTTCCTCTCAAACAAACCTTGAAAAACACAGCCATCTTTAGTTCCTGGCCTATACAAAGACAGGCAATGACCTAATCTGGCCCACACGCCAATCTCTGAGGATATTTACTAAAATAGGAGACTAGGAAGAGATAAAATGAGATCTCTTAAAAATTTTAATTCATAAATAACTTCTCAACCATTTAGTTTTCACTTATTATTATACCAAATTTTTATATGAGTGGCTATATTATATAAATTACACTTAAATAGGCCAGTAATCTTTGAATCCTTTCTTTCCTCAGTTATACTAGGGAAAAAAAAAAAACCAATAATAAAATAATTGCAACTATTATATAGAAGGCTAACAGGTATAAAGAAGTCTCACTTTGATAATTGGATCCTAGACAACCATACCTGCCTAGATAACCTTCAGATATCAACAGACACTAACAACAGAATGTGCTAAAAAATCAGTTATGGCTACACTGCCTCAAGTAGCAGCAACAAAAGAAACATGGGAAGAAAGGTCTATTGTGTATTGAGCACCATGTGTTATTTATTCTGCTTTGGCCTCTTTTCTTAGGTATTCTTAAGTATAACTATAATGAATAAAAATAACTCCTACAGTTTTGGTCCCTAATTGTTCTCAAAAAAAAGCAAGTGATAATGTTGGACTTGCCCATAAAAACAAGAGACTGAACAGGTGACAAGCTCAAGGGGCAGTCAGGGAAATGGTCACCAAAACAAAGATGACAACCAAAAGGCACTGAGGAGGGGCGCCTGGGTGGCTCATGATCTTCAGCTCAGGTCATTATCTCACAGTTAATGAATTTGAGCCCCGCGTCAGGCTCTGTGTGCTGACAGCTTGGAGCCTGGAGCCTGCTTCAGATTCTGTGTCTCCTGCTCTCTCTCTGCCCCTCCTCCACTCAAACTCTGTCTCTCTTGGTCTCAAAAATAAATCAACATTAAAAAAAATTTTGAGGAAGGCACTGAGGGAGTGAAGAGGGCTTTGATGATATGAAAAGCTCCACAAACCTCACCATGGCCCGCAAGAACCGGTGTGAACTCATAACTGGTAAGAAACTATGGCTCATCAAGACTTCAAGTGATTGAAGGGGCGCCTGGGTGGCGAAAAAACCCTACCCAACATCTTTTCCATGATATTTCTAAATCTATGCTGTATCTATTTAATATAATTGCTCTCCCATATAAAGATGACAAAATGGACACTTAACTATTGTGTATGAGGTACATGGGGTGATGGCTGAAAAGAATGACACATTATCATCATTCCTTTCCACACCAAACACACAATGGATCACATTTACAGAATTAGTCACATGTGTAAGATATTGATGGGTATAAAAGGATTTTTAAAATTCTAGAATTTTACCTATTGGGATCTAGTTTCTTATCAGCCCTGGAGATTGGCCATTGTGGAGAGGCAAAGCAGTCTCCTATTTCACATATGTACAATGGGTCAACAAAAGCCTCAGAGACAAATATTTAAAGTACCAAGCCTTCAAAGAGATTCCAGCCTGGTCTGCAACAAATATTTATGGCACATTTTAGATCTCTACTTTTATAAATACAGACTGAATGTCACACCCTGTAAACGCTCTGCAAACACAGTGTTGGGTTTCTGTTGTGGAAGCCCCAGCAGATGGCTCTGAGGGTCACCTTACCTGAGAGGGCATCCTGAGCTTCAAAGAAAGTACTAAGACCTCCTTTCACATATGCCAGGCTGCCTTCACTTTTCTTGTTAGCCTGTCTCTTCAAGTTGGTGACTGCCATTTTAAGCTGTTCAAAACTGAAATGAAATTAAGAAACCAAAAGTTTAAGACTCCTAAAAAGCAAAAAACACTTCAGATAATGCATTAAATGTAAAATACTGAAGCCTAAGTTAAGAAAGACAGAGACTGACACAGTATGTAACCAGATGAAAACAAAAAGCTCTCAAATTCTTACCTACATCTAAACATTTTTTTTTGAGAGACAAGATCAAGTGCAAGTTGGGAAGAGGAGCAGAATGAGAGAAAGAGAATCTTAAGTGGGTTCCATGCTCTGTATAGAGCCCAACGCAGTGCTCAATCCCACACCCTGGGATCATGACCTGCATCGAAATCAATAGACATTCAACTAACTGAGCCACCCAGGCTCCCCTACATCTAAACCTTTTATTTATTATGAATAACAAAATTACAGTAACTATAAAACAGATCTGTAGTCCTCAAATGGTCATATCAAATATGTCAGACACCTAAGAAATGAATACACACATAAGATATTTCTACAAGCAATATATATCATGTATATGATTTGCCAGGTAAGGAGTCTTGAACATCATGTCCCTGTGCACAGGCCTAGACCAATGAGTGGTTATTTAAGTTATCTAAGGCAGAATGCCTCTGATGTTCATTTCGGTGTTCTATATCAAAATTAAACATATCATGATTCACTACAATCAATATTCAGTCCTCTGTCATTAACAGTGAAATTTCAGAAAAACCTGGGGAGGTTAACTCACAATTTAAATAACTAAAAAAGACCAAAATACTTTATCTCTACATCTCAAGTAGAGAAAACTAGTAGGCCTCTATATTTCAGAAGTTTTATTTCCAGCAAGGCTAAGAAAATCTGGTTATAAAAGTTTGAATATATTTTTGAGTGCCATGATAGCCCTATGCAGAAAACTGAGATCAATTCTGAAACATAGTAATAGAAAAAGCACATCCATGATGTATAAAATTAGAACCTACTTCTGCAATGAAAGATTTGACATTCCCTTTAAAAATTTACTCTGTTTATATAAACTTTCCCTCGTGTTTTCTAATGGTTTTCACTCTGATAGAAAAGATACCCTGAGATATTCATGAGCTCACCAAAGTCAAAGGACTCCTATGTGGCAGAGGCCAGCCTAAATCCCATGTTATCATATAATTGTATTAGGTACATCCACATGAAACAACATTTAGTCAATAGTCCAACATCCACTGACCTGGTAGTTGAGTGGTTTTCTATAAGATACCAGGCAGCTGAAAAATTCTCACTTGTAAAATCAGCACTCATTCCAGGAAACAGCATTTCTAAGTCCTTCTGGGGAAATTTACTTCTAAGGGAGAAAAAAGACTTAAAATATACTTCAAATGCTACACTACAATAATGTAACAGACATCCTAGAGTACCTAATGTAATAAACATGACTACAAATCATTAAAATTATACATCAAATATTATGAATCTATATTTACATGTGTATACAAAATATATTTCCTATACCTCAGCTCATTTCTTATTATATAAACTTCATGTATATGTAAGACATTAGTTAAAATACAGAAATTACATCAATATAGAGTTTAAAGAGGCTGAACTGATACTTTATGATATCTATCCAAATATGCAATCATTCTCTATTCAGTGAATAAAAATCAAAATTTGGATACACTGAAATTTAAAAACATTAGTTTGTTAAAATGGTTTTATTAAAGATTTATATGAAAGTTGTTTTAAAACATACTAATGCCTACTGATAAAAATTAGAACTAACTATATAATACTTATATTTATATGTCTATATCTAGAATAATTTTAAGAAAAGCTTCTAACAGGCAATCCCTTATCTGCAGCTGACTTTATTGCCTACATTTTAAACATCAACTTCTGCATCATTTCATTTATGTATCTATTCAAATAATAATTAAATATTACTACAGTTCAGGCTCTATGCTGAAAGTCAGACATTTGTATCTAAGAGCAAAAGTAATATGGGCAAACCCTGCTATGGGAGTATGAGCTAGCAGCCCTCACCATATCCTCAACTCTTCATCTGTGCAAGATGAAGTCCAAGTTCTACAGTCAAGTCTCTCCATGATTCAAACCTGCTTACCTCTCAGGACTTATTTCTGCTACTCTAATCCTCAAAACTGAAGATTCAGCAACTTCAAAGGGATTATACTTTCTTGCACACATCATGTTCATTTTACTTCATTCCTCTGATCTTGGTGTCTCTATGACTGAAATGTGGTCCTCAGCCCCATACACTGGATAAGCCAAACTCATGGGGTATGGACAGGGCACAGCACTGTTTTACAGCCCAGTGTATTCAGGGTCATGGGGAGGTGGTGGAGGGGGGTATGGAATTATCACCAACCTGGAAGAAAATGTGGGCAGGTCCAATGACTTCTACTCACTCTTATCTGAGAGAGATTTGATGTCATATTATTATGAACATAGCCTCAATTCAGAAATTATGCAGTGTGGTCCAAGATCAACACTCCATCTTTACCGACAAGTATTCTCTGACAGAGCTCTTTGACTTACAGGTGACCTTACATACAACTTACAATGGCCTGGGGCCTGCCCTCTGCAGTAAGGTGCTCATCTGGTCTCAAGAAACACCTTTCTTAGAGCAGACACCTTTACTGTCCATGTGCACTGTTCTTTTGCTCTCAGGTGCCAGGGTCTGTTTCACAAATGCAGGGAACACTCCATGGAAGCCACACTCCCCAGTTATGAGTGAAGAAAAGCACATACTTGTCATACCTCCCCTTCACAGCCTAGCATAGCTCTTGTCAAAGAATCTCACAAACCCTTCCCTTTCACTCCTGGCTCCCTTCATCCCTTCCTAGTCCCTAAAAGGGCAAGAAATGCAAACAGCAAAACCAGTTCTCTATGATTTCCTTTGTGAACCCTACCCTTTAATCTAGAATCCAACATCTACTTGTCAATACCTCAGTCGAGAGAGAGAGACCCACTTTATTTCCTATTACACTTACCTTTCTCACTATGACATTTTCTTTTTCTTTTTTTAATGTTTATTTATGGGGGGGGGAGAGAGTGAGGGAGAATGTGGGGATAGGAGCGGTGGGGGCAGAGAAAGAGGGAGACAGAAAATCCTAAGCAGGCTCCGTGCTGTCAGGCTCTGTGCTGCTCTGCCAGCGCAGAACCCAATGTGGGGCTTATCATGACCTGAGCTGAAATCAAGAGTCAGATGCTTAACCAACTGAGCCACCCAGGTGCCCCACACTGTTTTCTTTTTTAATTAGTGGGGAAAAAGCCTTGCTTAGCATTACAGTAACAGACAAGATAAAATGAGACTTTAAGAAAATCATAGACATCAAGCTGCATTACCTCAGTATTAGTAACTCAGAGAGTAAGTCAATCTCACTGGCTCCAAAAGTTAGAAGATTACAGTCTGAATCTTCTTGGGGTTCATATGTGGTCCAAAAGCTTGTTGGTCATTTTAACCAGACAGAATCTCTGAGAGGAAGCTGGAGAACTCTGCATTTTTAGAAGTTTTTTTGGGGTTTGGATTCTTCTTGTTGGTTTGGTACTTTACTTAAGTAATAAAATCCTGTCACCTTGGGAAGTTTTTCTCATTTTATTTGTATACCATGCCTCCAAGTTATAACTTTGGGGGAATATAATGACTGAGCTGAAAGGGCTGAGCCCTAGCTAAGTAACTAGAAACACTTCATTATGATATGCATAGGCCATATCCCATAGTTCTACCTGAACTGGTGGGCAGTGTCTGTCTAAAGTGCTGTGTCAAGGATCATATGTCTAAATTGGAAAGAACAGCATAATGAATTAGTAGGGTCTGTCAATGATGTGAAGGAAAAGTGCATGGAGCAAATCCTCCACTTTTTTGTCAATCTTACTTCTTTTTGACACTTAAACTGGTATTCTATGTAATCCTAACACTTTGCTTGTTCAGAAAGTTAAATCATCTTAACAGAATAAAAAAGTACTATAGAATCATCTGATATCAACTAAACCCCTACTATTAACAGTCTTTATGAATTATTCAACTATGTGAAATCCTCTTCTAACAAGGGTCAGTTCCAAACTCTCAGATTAAAGACACGGCTAACAAAAAAAGCAGCAAAAAGGGATTCTGAGAAAGCAAACGGAATTTCTTTATCCTTCACTCAAGCCTGTAGTCTTATTATGATTGCGTGGTTCCCTACCCATAATCAGAGCAGAAGTGTGAAGAGGAATTAACATTAAAAAAAAAGATTAAAAAATGCAAACATAAATCCAAAATATACAGCAGTTCTACAACTGCTGTTGGTGATATGGCTGAGACTACAAAGTCCCCATGGGTTTGACAGTTAAATCATGCTCAACATAGTTAGTTTAAAAGCAAACAAACAAAAAAACTAAAAAAACTATTTGTTTTTCTCTGTGTAGTGTAATGAAATCAAGGTCCATTCATGTTGTTGTAAATAACAGGGTATCCTTCTTTCTCATGGCTGAATAATATCCGACTGTACATATATATACATCTTATTCATTCATTCATCCATTAATGAACAATTAGGCTGTTCCCATACTTTGGCTATCATGAATAATGCTGCAATGAACATGGGAGTGCAAATATCTCAATATCCTGTTTTCATTTTCTTTGGATATACACTTAGTAGAATTGCTGGGTCATAATGGTAGTACTATTTTTAATTTTTGAGGAATCTCCATACTGTTTTCCAGAGTGCTGCACTAGCCACTTAAATGCCTTACAAATAAATAAATAAATAAATAATAAAAATAAAAAATAAAAAATATGTGAGGTGTTGGATGTATTAGTTACCTTCATTGTAACTAATCCTTTCACAATGTATACATTTATAAAACTTCAAGATGTATACTTTAAATATCTTACAAATTTATCTGTTAGTTAAGCCTCAATAAAGTGAAAATGTATAAAAACAAAAACAAAAAACTTTGGATACACACAGTACATATGAAAAAGGTCATATCCTAAACAGTTAAAATGCTTAAATGGGTGATACTGAATGATGCAAATATGTAGCTATCTACAACTTCCCATATTTAAAATTCATCCAATTCTTACACTTTAATTTTTTTTTAATGTTTATTTATTTTTGAGAGACAGACAGACAGAGCAAAAGTGGGAGAAGGGCAGAGAGGGAGACACAGATCCAAAGCAGGCTCCAGGCTCCAAACTTTCAGCATAGATCCTGATGTGGGGCTCGAACTGGTGAACCATGAGATCACGACCTGAGCCGAAGTCAGGTGCTCAAATGACAGAGCCACCCAGGAGCCCCCAATTCTTACACTTTAGAAACATCTCATTTACAATCTACTAAGCTGTTATTTTGACAAATATAAATAGACCTGTCTTATCACAAGATAATAGACCTGATGTCTATATCAGGTAAAGCACTAGGAGGTGAGCCGTTAAGAAACTCTCCTACTTCAGGAGTACCTCCATACCTCCCTCCTCCTCGAGAAGGAGCAGAAATGGGCCTGGCCACATTACTAGTAGTGGAGTCTCTTGGTGATAAAGAAAAGCACATGGGACATGGCCAGGCCTCCACAGGCTTTGCACCCTCATCTCTTCAATCATAGGCACAGCATGTCGCTGGCAGGGCAAGGGTGAGAGGAAGAGAAGGAAGATCTTGAAATGGAGCTTTGGAATTAGTGTGAGTGGTGAGGAGTCACTTTGGATATTTGGAACAGGCTATGTGCTTCTACAAGAGAGCTCTATGCTGAGATTTGAAGCATTAACCTACTAGTATCTCATTTCCCATGTACATGTATTATCTCTCATTCATATAGCTCCTTCTGGCACCTAAACGAGTCAGAGTTTGAAAAGTACTGGATCTCTTGGTCAAAATACTGTCTCCTCATAATCACCCCTAAGACTGAGTTTACAGTGATTACCTACTGAAGACATTAAAACTCATTTACCAATGTTACTATATAAATTTAAATTGGAAGAGTATTGAGACCTACACTAAGAATCATATTTACAAGAAAATAAATTATATTAAAGATGACAAAATTCTAAGAGAGGTAAAATGATTTACCCCAAATCACAAAATTAGGTCTACTTTTGGCTTATGATCCAACATGCATTCTCCACCCTCAGACCAAACAATCCCACACAGCAGCACAATCATAAATATCAATTATCCTAAGCAAATCATGGTTATCATATTTCCTTTGCTATCAACTGAGTGATCTTGCTTTGACCAGTGATGTCTGAGGAATATTTCTGGAAAAGGTCTCCAAACTTTAAGAAGGAAAATAAAGAAGAAATAGTGTCCTTCTGCCTCTAGACATTATTGTGTTTTATTAATTATT